TTAGTAAAAAAAATTTTAAAATACTAAATCAAATAGTAATATTTTACTAAAAATTAGTAAAAATTCTTACTAATGTGAATTAGTAGCTCACTTTTCACTAAATTCAAATTTAGTAAGATATATTTTAAAAAAATTTATCATAAAATGGAATCATCCTCTTCTGTAGATGACCTTTTTGAACATTTTTCAATGTTTAACAAAATGAAATATTTTAATTGTATTTGATAATAAAACGAATTTTTAGTTTGAGGTTATGTCAAGTGGTTGAACCACCTTAATTACATTGTAAAACATCTTAATTTGATTCAAATAAACGGTTATATACTCGAATATTATCTAACAAATATTTATTTTTATCAAATAATAATTATTTGAATTAATTAAACGTTATATTTTGTTTCAAACACTGAAATTATTTGGTTCAAGTAAATATTTATTTGATAAATACTCAAGTAACTGATTATTTGAATCAAATAAAAATTTTTTTTTTTTGTTTATTTATAAATTTTATTTATTTTAAACAAAAATTTTATTCAATCAAATTTTATTTACATCAACAAACAATTTTTATTAGATACAAATAAATAGTTAGTTAGTACTGAGACAAATTTATTTTTATTTAAAATAATATTTGGTTCATTATGGCAAAATCTAGATAAAAACTTTTCTTAAAAGCATAAATAAATTAAAAATAATTTAATACCTAACATTTAGATGAAATAAAAAATTTCTCATCTTGAAGTATATACTTATAAATTTTATAAATTATATTTTTTGCATAAAACTTTTTTTTATTATTTTATTACGATGTATATTTAAAAAGAATAAAACTACAATTATTAAAATATGTTGTTTTTGTTAATGAATTAATTTATTTTTTAAAAAAAAAAATATATATATTAATAAAAATGCAATGAAATTTCAATCTTAAAATGTATGTGTGTTAAAAATCTTCAGTGCATCCTATGAGCAAGACCTGTGGCGATGACTCTGGCATCGCATCACGTCATAGCTGTGTATGTCCTGTTAAGTTCTGCTTTTCGTATGTAAACGTATACGTATACATGTTTAGGTACGCGTAAGAATACCATGAAAACCCTTCTACACACACGATTCTTGCCGCGCCCGCATTCCAAGCACCAGGGCCGCTTGACTTGAGCCCTGGCTTCGTAAAAAACGCGAGAAAGCCAGGGCTGTATTTATTCACTAATACAATTAGATTTCATCTTTACTCCATCGCTATATAGAATTTATCTTTTTTTTTTTTTAATAACTTTATTATTTAGAGAATTTGCTTTTATTTATTTTTTTTTTTTTGCATTTTATTAACATTCTACTTAAACAAAATATATTATATTACAATAATTTTACACGCATTAAAAAAAAGAGGATCGTTAATAACAAAATTACACTGTCTACATCAAGAGAAATTTTTCATTAAAACTAAATATTATTTGAATAAAAAAAAATATACATATATACATTTAACTCAGAGGTAAATAATTTATTTTGTTTTAAATAATAAAATTTTTATTTGGCACAAAAATAAAATTTTCATTTGAACCAAATAAATATTTATTTTATACTTTTTTTTATCTAGTTGTAAAGTAGTGATTTAAAAAATGATAGTTAAAATTACCGTTTTAAGAATAATTTTAACTTAATTTACATGATTAGTATACATATAATATATATATTTAAATAATTAATTTTATTTAGTTAAAATTATTCTTAATTGTTGTTAAACTAACAATCACGTATATAGTTGTGTATAAATGTCTCAAAAGTGGAATAATAGTTCAAACAACTGCTAAAATAGTTATTTTTAGAACTTAGGTAGTTAAAAAAAACTATTTTTTTATAGTTCTTAGAAAAATAAATCTACTGTTGTTAAATAATTAAAATAATTATTAAGAATAGTTATTATTTATAGGACTATATAGCTGAAATACCCAATCTTCGATGGGTTAGTTTGCAATGTTTATTTCGACCATTCACCTGTTTAATTATATGAAATCGAATACTCCTAGGAAGAGAACAAAATGTATGACACACTCTCAATAGGTATTTTAGATATATTTAAGTCAACATTTTTTGGATTCCTGAGTGCTCAAAACAAAATACTATATATATATATATATATATATATATATGGGCGATTCCACGTTAGATTTTAGTCGACCTTTAAAATTCGGTTAAATAATTTTTTTTTCATTCTTTTCATTAAAGAAAAAATGGTATTTTATTTTTTTTACAAGTGCCCGAATTGTTGATTAAAAATTTTCAAAAATTTTCTTTTTTTTTACTGTAAACATAATATTTTCAATGGCATATAATAAATCTGAAAATATTGAATTTTGCAATTTTTGCCAAGAGACATTTAAATAATGTTAACAAAATAGAAATTGTTGGCAATTTTTATTTTTAAAAAATAACTATTTTTTATAGACAAATTAATTTTTTTTAATTAGGGCATTTTTTAAAATTTTATTTTATTACATATCTAGAAGTCGAGGGGGAATTTACTAGTTAAAAACGTGTACACTTGACTACCGGTATTACACCTCATATTACCTTTATTACTAAGTTATTACACGTTATTACAGAGTATTACACATTATTACAGAGATATTACAGAGTTTTTTGCGTTATTACAGCACCGTAATAACGCATTATTACACGGTATTACACATTATTACACAAGTATTACAGGAAGAGTGTACACTTGACTACCTGAGTAAATTCCCCCTCGCTAGAAGTAATAAGTTTGTAAAATAGTTTTAGAGTTGCCCTGATTGATACACCTTTTTGTTTAAATATAAATTTAAAAAAAAAAAATAATTTTCTTCTTCAATTTTTATAATAAAAAGGAATAATTTTAATTTGTTTTTCCATGAGTGAATTAAAGGATCCTAGCGACCAAAAAAATTTTTGATTAAAAAATAGAAAAAAAGGACATCTAAATTTTTTTTTTCTTTCTTAATTTAAACAAAAACGTTTTATCAAATCCTCTCTGAAACTTTTTAAAAACTATTCTTATTATTTCTAGATATGTAATAAAACAAAATTAAAAACATTTTAAAAAAATGCTCAAGATGAAAAAGAATTAATTTGTTTATAAAAAATTGTCACTTAAAAAAAAATTGCAAAAATAAATTTTTTTTAACATTATTCAAAAATTGTAGAAACTGGAACTTTTTTTTCTCTTAACAAAACTAATTAACAGAATAGAATAAATTTTAAATATAAGAATTTGTAATTTACAAAATTTTCATTTTCAAAAATTTTTATTTGCAAAATTGACCAATCACAATATTCTTGATATAAATTATGATTGGTCGTTCGTTGTTTATTCGGAAATTTGTGATTTCGGTCAAATTGAAATTCAGTGTTTTAAGAATTCTATCAAATAAGATAAGATTTTTCGGACCCCCCCTCCTCCCCCTTCTTACGTAAGTTTTTAACAATATTAATGTGATTAAAAAATTAATTACAACAATACAAATGGAAAAAACTTGTCAAAATCTTACGTAAGAATAGCTTCTACCCCTTATAGCCCCTTAATCTATAAGCCTTCTCATTTCAAAATTATTCAAAAATAAGTAGTACAATTTGTATATTTATGAATATTGAATAAACATCTAGATATATGTACTCAAACTTAGCATCTTTGAATATTCAATCTCTCTACATTTCAATAATTAATTAACAATAAATAATTTAATGAAAAAAATTTAGTTCTGGTTAACATATTAAATAATTGATTTAATATAAGCATTTATTAACTTATTAAACATTCATACTATTCAGAATTAATGAATAAAAAGAAAATTGATTTTGAGGTTATGTTTATTACTCTCAGCTGACGCAAATAATTTAAACTTCTGCGCAAGCGTTGTTTTCAAATTTTTTTTTGATACAAAGAAAATTTATTTATTTTTGATTAAAAAAAAAATTAATTACGTTTCAAAGAAATTTTTATATTTAATTCAAATAAATGTTTCTTTCTTTAACCCTATATTAATGTTATAGAATTTCTTTGATTTAATGCACAAATTTCTTTCATGCAAAGGAACTTTTTTTTATTCAAAGAAATTTTCTTTGAAACTAAAAAGCTTTTTTTGTTTCAAAGCAAAATTTTATTTTGAATAAAAGAAAACAAGTCAAAGAAATTGGTTTCTTTAAATCAAAGAAATTTTTTCTCTGGATGTATATTTTTTTAAGTATCTATACTTTTAAGTATTCATATTTTTCTCAATGTGCTAGGCCTAGGGTTCGAATTCTCAAATTTCGCAACGTAAATCAAGAACTCATTTTACAGTTGGGGCAATTGCTAATAGATATACTTAAATATCATATGTTTACTTTACATCATTTTACACTAAAAAAAGGAATTTAAAACCAACTTTTTAATAAAATTTCTGCCACATTACCAAAACAATGCACATATGGCAATTGTTTTAGTAAAAAAAGGCAATATTTACTCTCTACATTTGAATTAGGAAGAATTCGCTCACTTATTCAAATCAATAAAAATTTTCACTCATTTTTATTTTATAACTATAGGTATTTGATTTAGTAATAATTTTTAAAATAAATTTTTGGTAATAAATGACTAAAAATTAGTAGAAATTTTCATTAATTTAAATTAGTGAACGAACTCTCACTTATTCAAATTTAAAGAATGTAAACTAATACACAGATAATCATATCCAATGAGAAATTTACCTTTGGCAAAAGAGTGGCCCAATATTGAACCATCATTGGTCCTATAATGGCCCAATGGTTACCATTGGCAAATTCCCATTGGGTATCTGTTGTTGTTGTTTTGAACAATGTGAAGTTTTCCATTAATTCAATTTCATTCTTAAATACATAATATAAATGGTGTCAAATAAAGAAAATTGTTGATAATAAATTTTTTAAACTACATTTGCTTAGTAATTCTAACTGTAAGTTACTTAATGGTGTTGTTGATTTATTGAAAAATATCAACTTACCTATCTCTAGGATCGATCCACGTTGTTTTCCTTGTATTGTGGTCAATGAAGTACACTTTCCCATCAAAGTCCTGAGCGACATCCCACCCTTCCGGAAGTGGTATCTCCCCATTCCGTCTCCTTGGCATATTTCACTGCACTCTGCAAATATTAAAAACTGTCACCACCAATCATTCTTATAATTATGAAGGTGGTCCTTCATTATAGAAGGATTATGTTTATATTATGAGCATAATAATAACATAAAGTATATATAGGTACATTATAATAGGTCAATCGATTCTTAATGATGCAATTAATACAATCTTATTATTTATTAAGGATATGTATCCCACGAGACCTATAGTATGGGAAAATTTGTTTTGGTATAGTATACATCTTACTCTAAAATAAGAAAAGATTTTTACCTAAAATTTTTAGGGATGATGTATTTGGATATAAGGAATCTCAATCACAGAAAAAACCTGAACTCAAAATGAATAGCATACGCTACTCATTTTGATGTGCAGCAAAAATGAGTCAGGTTGGTGGCGCCACTGTCTATGTCGTTTAGCATTGACTCATTTTGAACTGCAGCATTAAAAATGAGACTAGGTTTTTTCTGTGGCTGTTCTCCGAAAAATACATAATTTTGCGTTAAATTATTTAAAAAATGAAGTTTAAAAAGTTAAATTTTTAAACGAAAATGAAAACAAACATGGCGGTGCATACACAGACGTTACTTGAGTTTGTCAGTGTTCCAGGAAACAGCGCCAATTCGAGCAAAGTAGCCACTTAATGAACTATGATAAAACACATTATATTTTACTATTTATTGCTTTATTTTTATTATTTTTGCATTAAGTTATAGTAAATGAGTAGAACAGCGAGATTCCTTATACCAAACAAAATCATTTCTCCAAAATTTTATCTCGAAATCATTTTTTATTTCAGTGAAAGTTTCAAACCACAAAAAACGTCCTTTGCCCACATACCCTTAAGATAAATTTACTTTTTGTTAAAACCGTTTTTTATATTAATAATTATATACTCTTGATTTAAAGGACTTAATTGAAATTTAATTTAATTAAAAGATCTTGATTTGTTTATTATACATATATAAAAATATTGTCGACCTTAAGGACATGTGAAGGTTACATCACGCAATTCCATATGTAAATATTCTCCGTAGGTTTTCTTGCAAAATACTTGATAAATTGAGTTGAATATTTGTGAGGAAAAGTAAAAAAAATAGTATAAATTAAATTTAAAATAATATGAGACGAGCTCTGAAGAATGCGGCCTAAGAAGCAAACGAATTATAGGTTATGTTTATGATAGTTTTACCTTGATTAAAATTTCTCTTTTATTTATTTAAAATCAGAATCTTCATACAATTTCAGCCTAATAATTATATAAAGAATCTAGTGACCTAATATTCGCATGTCCTTAACATTGATGAAAAATTGACACTTTTTATAGTCAGTAAAAATTTTTTTTTCAAATAAGATTAGACTTTTAAAAGTATAAAAATTTATTGTTTTCAAATTAATTAAAATATTCAAAGCTCTAATATAATTATTGTTCAAATATGCCTTCAAAAATGATCCTATCAAGTAACCAAATTCTTTGATTTTTATCAATTAATGTCTCAATTTGGAAACGTAAACTAATTTGAACGTAAATTATAGTATACAGGGTGATTTTTATGTTCCGGAACCCTCAAAAAATATTGTTTTCATTTCTTAAACAAAAAAAAAGTGGAATTAAAAAAAAAATGTTTAGGGGGTCCGGAACATAAAAATCACCCTGTATATTTGTATAGTATTAATTTGTGTTTTTAAAAAATAATAGAACTTATATTCCATATAAATAAAGGAAGTATTGTACACTTGAAGCTTGATATAACGACGTTTTATATATAACAATGGTTTATCTTATTATATATTAGGAACTAAACATCTTTAATTTAAAGTTGTAATAAAGTGTTGACGAGAATAAATTTTAGTTTATAAATTATAATTGTAAACAAATTACCGCATATATGACCAGTAGAACTGAGTATACTTATTTGTATAAACATACTTAGATTATTATCCGCATTTTATGTTTATCTCTGTACTTTTCATTGAATGCAAATTTTGTATTATTTAAACATCTGTCATAATGTTTTGTGTACACATAACTGCAAATCCTGTTATTTTAACATTAAATGTACATTTTAAATCGTTAATTTTGAAAAGGACTTCTCTTCTATGATTCTTCAAAAATTTTAAAAAGACAGAAGAAACTAGATTTTTTTAAACATTAAATTAGAAAAAAAACTCAGCTCTTTTTGTTCTATTACGTTACATGATAATAATTGTTTCATAGGTTAAAAGTTGACGTTTATTAATAAAAAAACATGTCTTGTTTTATTAATTCTTCATCGCGGTTGCTGTATCAAGATTTTTAGATACCCAAAGTATGTACTTGTTATATCGAGATTCAAGTGTAATAACAAAATAATTTTATTTGTTGATATATTTTTACGATTTTTTGAACTCAGAAATTTTTAAAAAATGCTACATTTGTTTTAAAATTTTAGAACTCACAGCGAGTTAAAAAATTGTAATGTTTTTGTACCTAATGAATCATCCTTAAATGAAACAAAATTTTTGATTCAAATAATCGTTTACTTGACAATTATCAAATAAATATTTACTTTAACTAAATAATTTTTATTGAATAACTTTATTTGAATTAAATAAACTGTATTTGAACTAATAATTTCTGTATTTGAAACAAATACTATATAATTGAATCAAATAATAATATTATTTAATACAAATAAATATTTATTTGATAATTGGCAAGTAACTGATTATTTGGATCAAATAAATTTTTTTTTCAGTGTAAATATATTTTTTTGGTTTTAATTTCTTTATGCAATATTTTAAGAAAAAAATAGTCTGACATTCACAAAATATTTTCCTTTTTATTTGGTAAAATTTGTTATGAAACACGTTTAAATTAGCGAATATTCTACTGACAAGATATTAAAAAAAAAATGGAAATTTTTGAAAAATGTGATTCTTTATGATGTTTTAACATAATATCTCTAAAATACGTTACTGGAATTTATTTCCATTACCTCAGTGTTGGCAAGCAATGTAAAATGAGCATTTATAAATAGCAATAAAAATATTTGTAAAAATTATTATTATAGTAAAAATAATGAATTATATGAGAAATGTAATTAAAATTTGTGCACAAACATTTTTATTAAATAAATCATTTCAAATATGTAAGCGCGCGCGCTGTTTTGACCAATAAGGTAAAACTAGTGAGGTTTACGCAATTGAATTCCGAACGTCGAACTTCGAACTATGTTATATACCAACGTTGAATAGAAAATCCTACATACTTTTTAGTCAATCTTTATTGAATTTTAATGTTCTGCAAATTCTGAATTACTTACTTTAAATTTTAAAAAAATAAATAATTTTTTTCTTTTTTTTAAATAATTTTTGTGCCTGAATTTAATTCATTAACAAATAAGCTCAAATTTTGTTATTTTTATTTATTTAAGAAATCAGGTGGACAACTAACAAAAAAAACAAATGGAGAAGCGTGATGTCAGTAACTTTTTTTTAAAAAAATTGCATTAAATTTAAAAGAAATCTTTTAATTGATAAAGAATTGTATTTTATTTTTTCTTAATTTGGCGACTTGGAGTGATCATTATCATCTTTGTTATTAAAATACTACTATAAAAGTGATAAATTAAATGTTTTATTGTTAAAAGAGATCTGTTTAAAAATTCTTATATATTGTTTTAACTAAATTAATGTAAATATTAATGGTATTAATTTAACAAATTATGATAACCAAATTTCAGTCTATTAATGACCTTGATAATTTAATTACTTATATTCTTAATTATATTATATATGTGACGTATTCTGAAGAAAGGGATCTAAAAAGCAAAAATTATAGGTTATGTTTATGAAAATTTTACCTTGATTAAAAGCATTTTTTTTTAATGATGTAAAATAAAAATCAGTTTTTATTGAATATTTTGTATGCAATGAAAACTCAAGGGTTTATATAGTATTGAAAATTACGATCATGTTTGTGTACTTTTATTCCAAACTATCATAAACATAACCTATAATTTTTTGCTTCTTAGGTCCCTTTCTTCAGAGTGCGTCACATGTATATTATTTACTAACTTAAAACTAAGTTCTGACTCAAAAATATTGATATTTCATAATTGACTTAATAAATTGTTCTTCATTTAATTTGTATTAAATTCTATCCTATTTTTTTTTTATTATCCACTATCTATGAAATCTCTGTTTTATCTTTTGTAATTAGAAAGTCTTGAAATTTCAAATCATTCAGATATATCATAATATGTTTTGCATTAAATCTCTAAATGTAATTCTAAACCGAAAATCTTATATACTTTTAGTTCTAACCATAACTATTGATCCAATTTATAACCTTGAAATAAAAATAAACACGAAATTCGATTTATTAAAATTTTATTTTTAGTCAATATTTATATTCTTTGAAATGAGTATTTCATTAAAATATTACTTTTAAGTTAATCATTTTTTTGATCTATTTTTCATTCATCGGAATCATTATATAATCTCAATTATTCTTGAAATTTTATTTTTTTTTTTACCTGTTTATTAGATAAAATTGTTATATCAAATATAATATCTAACTATTGTTATAAAGACTTTCTAAATACAAAAATTTTTATATTTTAATAAATTCAAATTTCACAAAATGTTTATTCATTACTGATATTTTTTATATTACTTTTATATTATTTATTATATTTTATCATTAGATAGATCGTTTATTCATCCATAATATATAATTACAAAAAATTAACAAAATTAATCTTATTGGCTGTCTATTATGTCTTCTGGAGATCCGTTGATTATTAAAAAATTTATCAATTTTTTGCAACTGATCCTATTTAAGCATCTTAGAGTGTGGAAATTATATAAGGACAAAAAATGCAAAAACGAATAAAGTAACTTTTACTATACTTTAAAAGTAAAACCGGAACTGTCCGCAGTTTCTGCGCATTTCTAGCAATTTTTACTACTCCAGAAATAGTAAAATTTACTATTTTCGTAATAATTTTTACTATTTTAGGAGTAAATTTTACTATTTTCGGAGTAATTTTTACTATTTCTAGAGTAAAAATTGACAGAAATGCGCAGAAACTGCGGACAATTCTGGTTTTACTTTTAAAGTATAGTAAAAGTTACATTATTCGTTTTTCCATTTTTCTCCGTGTATGAGGTTTGCATTTTAGGCTTTTTGAGAACGTTCGAGAGCTATCCTCCATTTGTTATACTTTAATTAGTTATATAGAACAAACGTAATCTATTTATTTTCCAAGTAGCTTCTGATTTATTTTACATATTTTATCATTAAATATAATCCTCACTTCACCAAATGTGCAGACATAGACATTCCTTTTTTTCCATGATCAAATACATACACATTTGGTGAAAAGACATGCGCCTTCATTTTTTTAAATAAAAAGAAATAAATTGCAACAACCTGTTGCTTTCTCACAGAAGATGTATTATTTTCATGAAAATGTTTAAATTTAATTTTTTGACATATCTTGATGCTATTTGACCTCAGGAGTCCGAAAATGATACTTTAAAAAGTGTATCTTTTGCGTGTGCGTGCGCGTGTAAACTTTCTTATATTTTGGTAATAAAAAGAATTATACGAAGCTGAAGTACGCAACATTTATGATAAACAATTTTTAAAGAAATAATTTTTTAAAATGAAAAATTTTATAATTTTTTGCCTAAAAAATATATTTTTTATAATTTGTTGATTAATGAAAACTACAAGAAATATTTTTTAGGCAAAAAATTATAGAATTTTTAATTTTAAAAAATTATTTCTTTAAAAATCGTTTATCATAAACGTTGCGTACTTCAGCTTCGTAGAATTATGAATATCAACTGTTTAAAAATTGTAGTAAATTGAAAATTTTTAATTAAAAATTATTAATTTTAAACGGTTTTAACAAAAAGAAAATTATAAATTTACATTGAAATATAAACATTTCATTTTGAATTGTGATCTATAATATTGCAAAATATTACTGACATTTAAAAAATTAAGAAAAGAACATTCTTTTTTTTTGGAAAAGAAGTTTGTTTTACATGTTTTATATTAGTTTTAAATTATTTCAAATAAGTTTGTAGAAAATTTAAAAAAATACATCGATTGACCTATTTGCGAATAGTGATAAGTTATTGGCTTTCAAATAGTAGAAAATTGAGCAAAGCGTGTGTGACTTAAGGATGTTTTATATAAGTAAGTTTAAAGTGCAAAGCTAAGTTGGCGTACACGATAACTTTAAAAACTACTTGACCGATTTTGTACAAACTTGGCATACATTTCAACAACAATATTATAATTTGTATTTTAATTCAATGTTTTGAAAAAATCTCTAAAAAAAAACCATGTTTTCAGTATATGAGACAATTCTAAAATTTTGTGTAAAATTGTAACCTGTTTTTTTCAATCATGCCATTTTTAAATAAATACTTTTGATTAAAACTTATACAATCAGAGAAAAGTTTTGTTTGAACTAAATATAACTTTTTTTTTTTGTATTAACACAATTTTTTGATTATTTTAAACAAAATTTGTTTGAAACAACTAACTTTTGGTTAAATCAAACAAATAAACGTATTGCGTTAACGAAACTTTTGATTGAATCAATAAATAGTTTATTTGGTTCAATCAAAATTTTCCTTCATAAAAATTTATTACCATAAATATTTATTTGAAATTTTGAATCAAACAAATTTTATTTGAAATAACAAAAAAAAAATTATGTTAATACAAAAAAAAATAGTATATTTGATTTAAAGAAAATTTTTTTCAATTTTAATCTTTACGAGAAAGCAATATGTATTTATAAAAAAATGATTACAAAAAAAAAATTTTTTTTGTATATGTAATATTATTGCAAAAAATTGATCTCAAAACAGATATATCTGATATAATCTCATACAGAATTTGGTAAAATTTTAATATTCAGGAATGTGATTAAATTGGACAGATTGGCCCATTTCAACAGAAAAAGAGAGAGGATGTAGCATGAAAATATTGAAAAACTAAATCTGAAGCATGTATGTATATATATAATATTAATTTGCATTTAATTATTTCGACTGACATTTATTGGCTGCGTGTTTAAAATTCATGCAATAAGCTATATTAAGGACAACGTTAAAAGAAAAAAAAAAAAATATATATATATATGGAGAGCATCTGTAGCGTTATTCAGATATGTAAACTTGTTCAAAATGTCAAGAACAATCCTGACAACACTACGCTCCTGTTGCGCTCCGCCATCATGAATACCTCATTATCATGAGAGGAGTGACGTCAGAGTCCCCGCCTTCAGATTCCTCTCAAGCGGAATTCCACCGTTAACATGATACTTGAAACTCACGTAAAATCAACACAAATTAACAAATGGCACTTTTTAATGAAAACCATCAAGGTACACTTTTAAACACTTATCAAAACTTAATCGCACCTATTTTCCAAAAACAATAAAAACCTTCATTTTATATGTTTTTCATTCTCACAAGTGTCCTTCATATTTAATTGAATAAGCGATAATTTGACTCTCATGTTTTTCTTATTTTTAACAAACAGATTTAAAAACACTATTCTTCTTTTTTTTTTTTTTACAGTAGCACTTGTCAAATTCTTTTATCTGATTTTATCCTTAACAAATATTCGACTCGCTGCATTAAGTGAAGCATTATACAACATTTTCATGTCTTTTTATCGCAACTGTCAGCTTCTTAAAGTTTGTCACTTTAAAATATTGGAACACGCTTTCACTTATATCACTTGGGTCTATTATACATTGGAGCACACAATTCCTTTTTTTTTTTTTAAGGCACAGAACTATTTCTTTTATAAGGCAGTTACAATTATAACAATACTATATATTTAATAATTTTTAGTAACTTTTTTTTGTGAATACGAGTGAAAAGTATAGCTGAGAACCACCGCTTACAACAACGAGAGAGAGAGCACAAATTCCGATTGTATATACTTTTTCTCAGCAGCTACGAGCAGCATGTTTAGTGTTCGAAACATGCCTGACGAACCGAACGTTCATGTGCGCTTGGCAATGCTTGCAACTGCCTATACCTTCCCCCGCTTCTTCACCTAGTAATGGTTCAAACGCCAAAGAAAGCTTCCCCCGACCCTCAAGTCACGTCCAAAAGCTTTTCTATCTCTCACTTTTTCGCTCACTCACTCATCCACCTCCGTTAAACCGTTTCTCCTACCACTGCGCATATGCTCTCGTGTCTCTGACCGCTGTGCACGAATAGCAACGAATAGGGCCGTAGTTATGAACAAAACGGGGCCAATTCAACCAAATTACAAATGTCAATGTCTTTAAGTAATGGCAATAATAAATACAAAAGAAATGCTTCTTCACTTTTTTAAAATTAAATTCATCCTCGTTGTAATTTAATACCAAAAAAAAAAGACTCCTAATCCTTTATTTTAGACCATAATAAATTTTTATTTAAATCGATTACAATTATTAAATGGTAATTTAAGCGAATTCAAAATGTCGGTTACAAATTTAGCTGACACGTGAGTCAAAATTTGTCAACTGTGACAATATTTTTTTTGAGTAGTTGGAAAGTTTTTCATGAAATTCATATTTTTCAAAACAGTAAAAATAAAAAATATGTTTAAAAAAAAAAATTTTTAATTTTAAAATTTGAAGATTTATACAAGTTATTGCTATAATAAGCATTTTTGTGTGTGATTTTACAAAGTTTTATTTTTCCATTAATCTACAAAACCAAGGTGCTTGGCATTATCATTTTATAAATTAACACTGCTTTCAATTAATATTTCTCATTTTTCAAAATTATTGAATTTGTTAAAAATTTATTTAAACCAATAAAAATTAATGTAATTTCCCCTCAAATATTTTTTTATTATATCTAAAATCGGGGCACATAAAAATCATTAAAATTTTCATTTTCAACAATTTTATTAGATATAATTAGGTATATTTTAGACGAATTTTTTATTTTTCGAATTAACATATGACAAAATTTCTTTTTAAACAAATTTTTACTAAACAGAATTCTTATATTAGGTTGTTCAAGTTGGGTGGGAAGAAATCCAAAATGGCGATTAAGCGGTGCACCAACAAACATATAAGAAATGTACAGGATGAAGTCGAATTTTTTTAATATCTCGCTTAAATGAAATTTTGGAACCTAATTGTATTAGGATTTTAATTCCTATGTTTAACCTATTTAATGCAATAATAAAATTTATTAAAAAAATAAAATCGTTTTTTATTATTGCATTAAATAGGTAATTAAACATAGAAACTAAAATCCTAATACACTTAGGTTCCAAAATTTCATTTAAGCGAGATATTAAAAAAATTCGACTTCATCCTGTACATTTCTTATATGTTTGTTGGTGCACCGCTTAATCGCCATTTTGGATTTTTTCCCACCCAACTTGAACAACCTAATAACGAATTTTTATTTGTCTGAAATTGCAAATGACCGAACAAACAATCAACAGAATAATTTCGGCGCGATGTTTAAAATTCACCAATCAAAAGTGAATTTTAAAAATCGCGCCGAAATTTTTCTGTCGATTGTTCGTTTGACCATTTGCAATTTCAGACAAATAAATAAAAATTCGGCGTTTTAAGGTTATGTGACGGAGGTCTATAATGTTGATTTGTCTGTAACTTTTCTCGTAAAATACTGAATGGATTGTGTTGAAATTTTATGAAGGAGATCAAAATTTAATAAGGAATGGTTTTCAAGTGCGAAAATGTTGATATATTATGTTAAATAATTATTATAAAATACTTGAAAATAGTTAGAATATGTAGGGTTAGTAGTATCGGATTTTCAAACAATTTTTATGCCTTTTATTATATTTATTTAACAATATATCAACATTTTCGCACGTCACAACCATTCTTTATCTATATTTTAAATTCCTCCACAAAATTTCAGCTAAATCCATTCAGCATTTTACGAGAAAAGTTATGGACAAATTAACATTACAGACATAACAATCACTTGACCTTAAGAATTCTGTACAATAAAAATTTGATATTAAGAACTCTATTAAGTAAAAATTTGCTAAAAAAGAAATTCTGTCAAATGTTAATTCGAAAAATAAAAAATTCGTCTAAAAAATAATTATAACTAATAGAATTGTTGAAAAAGAAAATTTTAACTAATGATTTTTATAGGATAATAATGAGCCTTCTAAAATTATTCACAAAAAGAAAAATTTTGTAACTTATTTTCGGTTAAAAGTTGCAAAAAATTTTACCTGACCAAACGCTGAAATGTTTAAATAAATTAATATCATAGATAAAATGTGCCAAAAAAATTGTTTTCCATAAAAAATATTTTAAAAATCGAAGGAGAAGTTCTATTAATTTTTATTTGTTTAAATAAATTACACAGGCCTGCAAAATTCGACTTTTTTTTTTTATTTTTGATATTGAAGTCGTTTCCTATGTAATTTTGTGCGCTGAACACAATCCCGTGTCCCAAAATGGCCCAGCACGTCAGGATTTTGAGAAAAGTGGGGGTAAAGAGCCCAAAAACCGTGTTTTTGGGTGTTTTCAAGAATTTTTTTCTCCTTAACCTGACGTGCTAGAAACTTCTACTAGGTCTTAAATTAAAGCTTAAAGTGTGCACTTTAAGACCCATATGCGCAAGTAAAAAAAAACTTAAGGGATTTTGAGAAAAGTGGGGGGAAAGAGCCCCAAAAAAATTTTTTTACATACTTTATATCGCAGTGGTTTTTTATGTATTTTTGTGCGCTGAACACGATTCCGGGTTCCAAAATGGCCTAGAACGACAGGATTTTGAGAAAATTGGGGGTAAAAAAATAAAAAAACGCGTTTTTAGGGTTTTTTTAATATTCCCCCACTTTTCTCAAAATCCCTTAAGTTTTTTTTGACTTGCGCATAAGGGTCTTAAAGTGCACGCTTTAAGCTTTAATTTAAGACCTAGTAGAAGTTTCTAGCACGTCAGGTTAAGGAGAAAAAAAATTCTCGAAAACACTCAAAAACACGTTGTTTAGGCTCTTTACCCCCACTTTTCTCAAAATTCTGACGTGCTGGGCCATTTTGGGACACGGGATCGTGTTCAGCGCACAAAATTACATATAGGGAACGACTTCAATATCAAAAATAAAAAAACCATGCAGGCCTGTGTTATTTATATTTTTAACAAATTAAATAATTTTGAAAAATGAAAAATATTAATCGAAAGTGGTGTTAAAAAAAACAAGGCCAGGCTGATTTTGTTAATTAATAGAAAATTAAAATTTTGTAAAAAATTTTATTCTCTTTAAAAATATTAATTATCAAAAGTAAGAGGTTCACGATATGTTATTTCGTAACATTAAATTTTTCAATTTTTTTAAACAACGCTATTATTAAAAAAAATATTAAAAATTAGATGTTGGAACTCACCAAAAACATAAATCACTTTATTCTTTATTTTATATTCACTTTATTATCACTTTATTGCTCTCATAGTATCTGAGATATTCATGAAAATATAATGTGTATACACATACACACACACACGGAACCACATTTTTTAAAAATGTGATTTTTGAATTCCTGAAAACATAAAGATACATAAAAATATCAAGTTCGAAAAATTTCGGTATTACAATGCTTCATTCAGAAGGAAGCAATTTTAACAATTTACTTTATTATTAATGTCAATAAAATAAATTTTTTAAAAATAATAGAATTATACTTTTGGAATAGAAAATTTCCTTATTATTGACTTAGGAAGGCACATTGTTTATAATCCGTAAGAAGCGAGAAATTGAAAAAAATAATTGAGAATTTTCATTCTTCTGAATAACCCTGACAAAAATTTAGAATGCAGAAATTCAAAATGTTAAAAATTGAATTGTTTATATCCTTCAATCCAAATGTGTTTAATGTTTATATTGTTTGTTTTATTATTAGAAAACCAAGTTTATTGTTACCCATGTCTATTCTTGAGGCAACCCAACCTGGTCCTGATAGGGGCAACTAAAATTTACTAACCCGGGGTCAGGCCAGAAAATCGAATCGATGCCAGGGTGTCGATTATGTAATTTGATTTTATTTTGACATCAAAGTCAAATTTAATACGACAAATTGAAATCAAAAATTAAATTTGAATTTAACGTCAAACTTAAATAAAAAAATGAATTTGTTGAATGAAATTTAATTTTGACGTTAAAATGAATATGAATTTGACTTTAACGTCAAAGTAAAATCAAATTACATAATCGACACCCAGATCGGTAATCGGGAACAAACGTGGAAATTTGTTCCCGGGTAGGACAAGAAATCTCTTTATACTTATAGGTATATATTATACGGTTGTGGTAATTTAGGCCATTTTAAATTTGGAGAAAATTCATGCGCCTCCTGAAAAGTAGTAAATTTTTCGTAGACTGACACATATTAATCGATCATTTTAATTTTGATGATTACGATTAGGTAATCAGATATTAAAAATGACGAATTTATTGTTACAGAAAATAAATCATGAAATTACAAAAGAAATTATTCATAAAACTGATATTTTTAAATCAGACCTCATATTTGTTATTATATTTAATACAATTATATAGTACCTATCCCTGAACCGACATACACCTACGCTTACAGAAAAATCAATGTACAGGGGCAGCATGATTATTTATCATTTTTTAAATATCACTACCACCTCAGAAGGTCGTAATTTCGCAATGAATTAAATTGAAAAAAAAACTTTCCTAAAACAATTCCAGTTCACAAACTAATAAACAAACTAATTATTGGATTTTTTTTAAAATTATTTTTTCTATAATTGTAGTAGTAAATTTAATTCTGCATATTCAAATTATCATTATATAAATATACCTAGTTTCAAGAAAAAATTTTTAGCGTAGGGTAAATGCACTAATTACTGTGCGATTCGAGTCAAAACACCTTTGACATAGAATAATCGACATTTCTATTGTATAAAGTTAATTTAAGATTTATTAAACTAAAAGCTTATGTTATTTAGATATTAAAAAAAATTGAAACTTTATAAAAATCGATTATTTAAACAAATATGAGAAATTAAAACTAATACCGTAATTTTCTATTGCGCCGCGTTTGCATCAGTTTCGGTGTATCAATTACGGTGACCAAAATTACGTG